GGGGACCAGGGGTCTTAAATGAAAGTGTGGATGGAGTCGGCTCCTTCTGGAGCCTCAGGCAGTGTGTATTCCTGGTCTCCTAGCCCCAATCTCCACCCGTCTTCAAACGGTCATCCCTTCTCTGTGCCTCCGTGTCCTGTGAGGACATGTAAGACCTCCCTATAAAAGGACACAAATCCTGGAAAGGACCTTATTTCCAAATAAGATCATGTACCATACTCTAAGCATCAGGATTTCAATACATCTTTTGGGGGACACAATTCAATCCTTGACAGATGGGTACTCCATCATTGTTGTTCCCTAGATGTTGAAACTAAGGCACAGAGAAGCTATGCAGTGACTTCATAGAGATGTGCCTTGCTCCAGTGGTGTGACCCCATGTGCACACATAAGCCCCCAGGCAGGTGCAGTACCAGATACAGGCCCTGGGAGCTAGGTCCACCACCTACTGCAATGGCTTATGTTTTACTGACTTGCTTGTTCCTCAGTTCTAGAAGGATGTGAGGCTGTGCCTAGACTTCCTCAAGTCCATGGTGCCCCTTTGAACCCCTAGAGGGAAGGGCCATGTGCCATGCAGTAAAGATTCTAAGACCATAGTTGAGGTGCCCTGGAGGTGCCCTTCTTCATCTGGGGTCTCCCTCCCAGAAATGAAGGGGCTGTTATAAAGTGTTTCATTGTTTTTGTGAACATTTGTTAACTTCTTAAACCACCATGCCCTGCACCACAAAAACATATCAAAGAGACCCCAATACTGGGCAAAGCCCTGCGTGCTCCTGAAGGGTGGCCTTGGTATAAAGGGGTGAGTCACTCGGTGACTAGGGGCTGGGCCTGGGGAGAGGTGGTCTAATTACAAAGAAACAAACAAGAAGTGTGCTCATGGCCTGCACATCCAGAAACTCCCAATTTCCACAGTCAAAAGAACATTGGACTTCTGTGCCTAGAACATGGAGCTCGTGAGCCCTGGTTCCTGCATACATGCAGGTGCAACACAGAGAGTGTCAGGAAAACAGTCTTAACCACATAGCAATGCTAAGTGTAGGCTCTGTGTAAGGTGCGGGGGGAGGGGGGGACAAGTGGGGAGGGACTTGACTGGCTTTGTGTCCCCAGGTTTAATCTGTACTCTGTTAATGTCAGGTCCGTGTTACAATGGCTAGAAAGAGCTGCTAATTGTGGGGTACTTCGGGGTGCTGGGCTGCATTTTTAAAGTGTTTATTGCCAGCAGTTCCACAGAATGTGTTCCTTTGGGGGCGGGGGGGGGGCGGTTCCCAGATGGACCATCCTCTCTGCCACTCAGCAGAGGAGGGAGGATCTTTAGTCTTCAACCATCTGAGCTGCCCTTAGTGGAGAATATAATTCAGGCAGGCTGGAGCTAGACGGCACTGGGTCACCTTGAGCGGTTTCCACCTGTCCCCACCACAGGAAAGTCACACTGAGTGGAAACACCAGGGGCGGGGCTTTCTGAGTTACATCATTGGTTAGCAGCCCCTGAAAACTTCCTGTACTGTTTTTCTTGATGTTTTTCCTCTATTACTTTTCTAATGTTTTTCTTGAAAGTCTCTACAGATTTTTATGTCTAACCAAATAGGAAGCCACGATCTGTTTGTCATAAATAGATGAGTGTTATTCTTTTAGTCGTATGAGATGTTTAGAATGGTGTTTAAGGCATGAAAAGAAAACAAAAAAAAAAAAACAGAAAGAAAAGAGAAAAAAATGCAACTATCAGAAAAACAATTAGAACATGTATGTTGAACTGTCACTCTCTACCCTTTTCTCCACCTCCAGACCTCCAGACCAGAGCAGGATGGCTGTAGGCTTTACAAATGGGATACCAGGCTGATGTCACCCAGATGCATGTGTCTTTGGGGCTGGAAGGGCCTGTTCCCTTGGCAGGTGGAGAACTGAGACTCTAAGAGGCAAAGGGATGCACTCAGAGACAGGTTGTCAGTTCCAGGTCAAAGCTAGGCCTGCAGCACAGTCCTGCATCCCAATCCTGCCTTTTCCTAAATCACGTGGCACAGAAGCCTGAAGAACCCAGTTCATATGATGCTCAGCACCACTGAAGCCCAGGGAAGCCCTCTGTGGGCTCCTAAGTTCAGGAAGCATCGAGTGGCCGGGGTGGGGTTATGAACATGAGATTTAGGCATTATGAGAGGGGGTGCCCGCCAGGACCACCTCCCACAACTGGCTGCAGATCTCTGTGTCCCTTGCCCTGAGGCTCTGGAGAAGAGCATGATGTGGTACTCTGTTTTCCACTGTCTTCCATCCCCAGCTTCATCCCCACCTTTGCATCCTGCCCCATGCAGGAGCCATAGCCACTCCAGATGGGGCCTGGAATATGTGCTTGGATCTCACTTTTCCAGCTAGGAAACACCAGAGCTGCCTTCACCCTTAGGTTACCTGAGCAGCCAAGACAGGCCCTAGGGACCTACAGAAAGGACTGGTGGCCCCGTTTCACCACCCCTGGGTCTGAGGCATCTCCTGGAGGCAGGACTGGGTGACATCTCTCCTGCTGGCTCCCTCTGTTCTCAGCATTGCCATGTTGTGAGACCGTTCCTTAGGTGACTGTGATGGTTTGAATGAAAATGTCCCCCATAGACCCCAGGTATTTGGACATTTTTTCCCTAGATGGTGGCGCTGTTTTGTGAGGTTTTAGAAGGTGTGGCTATTCTGGAGGAAGCATGTCACTCGGGGTGGGTTTAGAGAATTCTTAAGCCTTGCTGGATCGCCAGTTGCTCTCTTGTTTCCTGTGCCTGTGTGATGATGTGAGATGATGTGAGAGCTTCACTTCTGCTGCTCCTGTTCTAGCCATCTCCAGCCACCATCCCTCCCCGCCATGATGGACTGTAATTCCCCTGAACCATAAGCTCAAATAAACTTTTCCTTCTATAAATTTCTTGGGTCAGTGTTTCTACCACAGCAATAGAAAAGTGACTAATACAGTAATTGGTACCAGAGTGGGCTGTTGGCTGTGTAGAACCTGACCATGTGGAGTCTTGAAGAAATGCGCAAGACTTTGGAAGGTTGGGCTAGAAAAGCAGTTGATTGCTGTAAGTGGAGCTTAACAGACCATTCTAGTAAACGCCTGGAAGAAAGTAGTGCTGAGAACAATGTAGTTCCAGAGGGAAATAAGGACTTAAGCAGCACTTGGGATATTTTGGCAAAAAGTATGGTTGGAGTCTGCCCACAGCCAAAAAGCTTACCTGAGGCTAAGTTGAAAAGCAATGGACTAATTTCTTTGGTGAAAGAAATTTCAAGACAGCCTAATGTAGAAACAGTGGCATGGCTATTAATGGTGAATACTATGCAGATCTACAGTGAAAGTTTGGATTGAAAAAGAACACTAGGAAGATAAATGTTGGAGCCCTGGCATGTGATGGAGAGGGTTCCATTGATAAGGGGATTAAAGTGATTAAGGAGGAGCCCAGAGATTCAGATTTAGGCAATGGAGAGAGTGCCTCCAGGGCAAGGCCACACCCAGTTAAGCCTCCAATTTGTGAAAGGAAAATGCTGCAGGGACCACTGAAGAGAAAAGCTGCTAAAATGGATAAAGCAGGCTGGAGTCCACCCCAAACTTGCAGTCAAACTTGGCAGTGTCATTCACCTGGTGCTGGCTTTAGAGGCATGAAAGATGCAAGAATAAAGGGGTCACCAGTTCTTCCTCCACGGTTTCAGAGAGCTGTTGAGACCAGGCAGTGTGCAGCAAGGGGTACCCCTGCCTAGAGAAGGCCCTGATAGGCCATTGCGTGAAGCTGTGAAGGTGAAGCCTGGTTGGCAATGGAGACCCCAAGAAGTTCATGATGCCAGAGCTGTGAGGCATCTGCCAAGAAGACCTGCATGCAGGGAGTGGTACCAGCACAAGAGAGAGATGTGTGTTGCACGCAGCAAAGCTAGAGAGGCTGAGCCATCTAAGCCCTTTGGAAGTAAAGTCCCAGAAGTTGGACGTGGAGCTACTGGATTTGGTGTTTGCCCTGATTGTTTTAGGTCTTGTTTTATGTTGCACGCAGCAAAGCTAGAGAGGCTGAGCCATCTTAAGCCCTTTGGAAGTAAAGTCCCAGAAGTTGGACGTGGAGCTACTGGATTTGGTGTTTGCCCTGCTTGTTTTAGGTCTTGTTTTAGCCTGGTATTTCCTCCCTTTTGGAATGGTAATGTGTATTCAGTCCCACTGTATGTTGGGTAATTTGTCTTTTGATTTTATAGAGGCTTACAATTAAGATATTTACCTGAGTCTCAGGAGAGTTTTAAACAGTATTGAGATTGATAATGACTATGGGGACTTTTAAAGTTGAACTAAATGTATTTTTCATTTTATATGGTCATTAGCCTATGGGGGCCAGGGGGTGGAATGTGATGGTTTGAATGAAAATGTCCCCCATAGGCTCCAAGTATTTGGACATTTTGTCCCCAGATGATGGTGCTGTTTTGGGAGGTTTTAGAAGGTGTGGCTGTCCTGGAGGAAGCACATCACTGGGGGTTGGCTTAGAGAGTTCTTAAACCTTGCCAGATCTCCAGTTGCTCTCTTGCTTCCTGTGCCTGCATGATGATGTGAGAGCTTAGCTTCTGCTGCTCCTGCTCCAGCAACCTCCAGCCCCCATGCCTTCCCGCCATGATGGACTGTAATTTCCCTGGAACTGTAAGCTCAAATAAACTCTTCCTTCTATAAAGGTCAGTGTTTGCTTTGGTCAGTGTTTCTATCACAGCAACAGAAAAGTGACTAATACAGTGACCCGGACCCGTATCATTCTGCTTTTACAGTCTGGAGCCTTGACAGTAGGCAATCCCTGAACTCAGCCCATTGACAACTTGTGATCAATTGCTTACTTACTGGAGGTGCGGTTGGTAGCTGATACATATGAGGTCCTGAAGGCAGGGCCCTGTGGGAGGCACCAAGACCCACAGAGAGTATGCAGACATGCATCACCTCTCCAGATCCTGGGGAGCAGCCACCTCCTCCCCTTTACCATTGGAGGATACTCACAAGAACCTGTCTTATCTCTCCCCAGTACTGTACCTGGAAGGCTCAGTTCTCGTGTTTGAGGACATCTTCAAACTGATTGCATTCTACTGTGTCAGTAGGTGAGTAACCTAACCATAGAGGAGGGCCTGGGGGAGTGTTTCTATTGCTGCTTTACAGAGGGAGCATACGGGAAGTCCATCTGTTGCAATAGACCCATCTGGCTGCAAGAGATAGCCATGCAGCCTTGGGGATGTTTGTGGAATGGGGGAAGACAGAGGAAAGGGGGCAGAGGATGCAGAGAAAAGGGACAGTTCCTTGGCTTTGCCCTGGTAACCACGAGGGGAAAGTTTAGCTCTGATGTTTTCTGGACTCCCCTGGTAAGAACCGCCCTTCTTCGACCACTACTTGCCCTTCTGATCTCCTGCCTGTCTTCCAACTTCCTGTGCTTCAGCACCAAAGATAGCTTGGAGTCCTGCCCACCAGGCTGTGGCAGGAGTTATAGAAAGACTTCCTGTAGGGACAGCAAGAAAGGCTGATACCCCCTTGGTGGGTAGGTGCCTGGAATCATTCAGCACCTGCTGGAGGGAGTGATTGGCACTCTTGGTTCTGTTTCAGTCACTCAGAACTGGTTTCTGATCAACAAGAATTTAAAAATACATTTTAGTGCCACAAGCCAACAACTTAACCTGCAGGGCCTGAACAAGGGCTAGTTGGAAACTGGGCAGCATATTTTGGAGTTCTCGGCCCCAGGCTTCCTCTACTGAAACCCATGCTTAACCAGCAACACCCCTCCCCACCCTCCAGGCCCTACTGGGCGTAATAAGCCAGCAGAGCAATACTGATAATTACAGCATCAGATACTGATGGTTGCTGCCATCTGGGGAGGGCTCCCTGAGCACTTAGTGAGGCACAGAGAAATATTTATACTCACTGTCTTTTAAAGATTTATTTATTTTTATTTCATGTATATGAGTCTTTGCCTATGTGAATGTATATATGTATACCATCTGTGCACCTGGTATCCACAGAGGCCAAAAGAGAGAGGTCATCAGATCCCTTGGAACTGGAGTTATAGATAGTTGTATCCTTCCATGTGGATGCTAGGAACCAAACCTAGGTGCTCTGCAAAAGTAGCAAGTGCTCTTAACCACTGAACCATCTCTCTACCCCCAATTGCCTTTTAAAACCTTGCCAACAACTCCATGAGGTCCCCTGAAAGTGCTCCTGCTACCCTCGTTTTATAAATGAGACTGGTAAATGGCAGAGTGAGGTTCAATCTACAGAAAGCGCCTAAGCCCACACTGTTGGCTGTGCTGTACCCCCCCACCAGTGTGCAGTCATTCTTTGAACTGACATGGCCTGATATGCCAAAAGGGCAATACTGCAGAGGCCCTGGAACTGTGTACTTTATGACATACCCAACTCTGGAAAGGATGGGCCCTTTCCTGACTGCCTTAGCTGAAGAATTCCTGCCTAGTTTTTGGTACATGTCGGGTATAATGAATGGATGGATGGATGGATGGATGGATGGATGGATGGATGGATGG